AGCACATAGATGAGTTTGCCCTCATGTGCCCGCTCTGACAGAACCTTATGAAAAGTGTTGAACTCCTTGGTGCCAATTTCAGCATAAAGAACAGCTACAGGCAGGTCTGTCTCATTGAGTCCTGGGTATTGGTGGTCAGACTTGTATAGGTAAGGTCTTGGCCTGCATAGGACACACAAAAGTGTGTAAAAATGTTATGAGAATCCAATTGGTTTATCATGAAACCATGTATTTGGTAATACTTAAATTATTACCAAATATCTCTGATTTAGGGCTGCACGATTATGGCCAAAATGATAATCACGATTATTTTGATCAATATTGAGATCACGATTAATTGTCACGATTATTTTTTGATTTGAACCAAAAAAAATTTATTGTCACATAGGCTAATTATAACTGCTTTCACATCCATATTGTGCTACATTCCTGCAAATGTAAAATATGTGCATCAAAATAAAATAGGTCCTCTTATTCACCAATAAATTATTATCAAATATCTCTGAATACAATATATTGTTGGTTAACGTTACCTGTCTGCTGCTGTCTTCAAGAGCTTCTTCATATCCTTGGTGCTACAGGCTTTTTGACCATGGACAACTATGAAAGCAGAGCATCCATCAGGAGGAGGTTCATCACTTGCGATCTATAGAATGAAAAGAAAGACTTAACAATACTGTCTATGAGGTAAACCACATAGTGACGGTCATTTCAAATGTACCAAAAATTTAAACTAAAAAAAAAAAAGAAAAAACTATTAGATATGTTGGTGGTGGTATACTCTAGGAAAAACAGACGTGTTACGGTGTCAAGCAGTTGTATTTGTCTGAAATCATTATTATATCCAAAAAAGAACTCACTTGTTGGAAAGCATGTACAGCTGGTGAGTAAGTCCTGAGAGAGAGAGACAGCTTCAGCAGGTTGACCTGAAGATCCGTCAAAAATTGTCCAGCTTTCTTGATGATCAGGTTATAATATGACCGGACAGACTCTAAAGACAGGAAAGTAAATATCTGCATTATTTCCAATCCATGTGTAATTCAACAAAACACCATCATGCATACCAACCACTCAGTGAATTATGAATCATTGCAGAGAAGATAAAAAGTCAGTCATTACCTCCATTTTTGTAAACAGTTAACTCCTTCACAGTATTGACAAACTGCCAGAACTTCTCGTCACCATCCTCTCGGATGAACTCGCTGCACAAAATTAGGTTTACAAATCAACTAAGACACAAGACAAGCATGAAAAATGCTCTGTGTTGATCTAATTCAAAGCTATTAAAGTCACCATGAAATCAAAATGGACAATTCTTCTTTTTTTTTATGGAATGTTTCAGCATTTATAATATACATTATTTATCCATGCACATCATTTAGTTTAAATTTATGAGCCCTCGTATTCTTTAATCACGTGTTTACTAGCGTGAGGGCGGGACAACCTGTCACTCACACGAGATCACAGCAATGGCAAACCACAACCATCCATCATCCAACAATCCAATCAATTCCCAATGGACAAAATCAAGACCTGCCTTAGCTTTTATCTTATTCGAGAAGCCATTTTTACGTGCATATACATCCCAAAAGGGAAGAAAAGACTATTACACCTTACGTTTCATGCCGACTTATAGCACAATCTAAAACAATTATAAAATATATATTCTAATTTTGTATAATTCTTATACCTACAATCGTTATAAATCCATAATTTAGAGACCACATGGAATATTTACATCGAAAATGCCTTTGTCACACTTTGTCAAACAGAAATAATTGGTAACTAGTTAAATATTCACTTTCCATAACATAATTTTAAGCTAAAATCTTGATATTGAACAAAGTTCAATAAACAGACATTGTTTTTTATGCATGAAGTCAACCATTTAAAAAGGAAGAGTAGCTAGCGAAGCTATCCTGAATTACAGGATAAAAATTACAATTCCAGCCCACCTTGTTTCCAGCAGGAGAGGGGTCATGTCCCATTTGGCCTGAAGACTGGCGATGACTCCTTTAGATGTTGAGTGCACATGCTGGAACCTCAGCAAGACCAGCACAATAAAGACCACCCTCATGATCAGACACTGCTAAAAGTACATTAAAGATAACACTATTATAACTTTAATCAATAACATTAAGATACATTGGTCCATTACACAATGATTGATGGATAATTTGCATACATTTCAAAATAGCTAGAAATGTCAATACTGCCTACATCATAAAATTAAGGAAAAGTTGTCATAAGAGCTACTATTAATTGTTTAGTGCTTCAAATTTCAGACAAAAATTATTTTCAAATCACTGTCAATCAGCAGGTTCCAATCATAACAACTCACTCCATCTAATAAGACAGCACACCCTCACTAGAGTAGCCTAAATGTTGGTAAAACGATAACTTACAGCAAGTCTAATCTGTGCAGTAAAACGCCACGTACCTACAATGTAACGTTATGTGTCAATTAGATGCATAATTGTTGCATTCTTTCAGTCTTTCACAGACATCAGCATCATTGCCCGTTTCATATGTATGCAAATCAGATGTAATAGACTTTGATTGTGACTGGTCATTCTTACTAATGAAGAAACAATATAAGATGGGGGGAGAAGCATAAAGACATGCATCACAAATTGTTCAACCATTAACGTTTCTTTCTGGACTAAAAAAAACATATTTTTCAACAACAATAAACCGCGACATGCCTCTGTGATATACACAATGAATACGTTTCATCTAATTCATAATTATATACCTCATCGGACACTGAGCCGCTTTATTACCCGTCTGTTTCACAGGACGCCGCCATTGAGGGGGTCCTGCATCTTTAATTCCCTCTTCCACATTATGGAAACGCGACACATTCATTCCGCTTGAGTAAAACCGCGTCAACATTTCAGCGACGGATAGGCTTAATATTGTAAAAATAAAGGAAAAGAAAAGTTAATCTTAGTTATTATAGCGGTAAAATATCTTACTGCATTTGCATGTTTTAGAAGTTGTATACAGGAGTTGGTCGTTCAGGCATTTTCATGGACAACTAGAACTAGGATGTAACGGCAGAGCTTCTGAATGTGAAGTTCATGTTGATGTTTTTCCCTGGTTTGATTCATTTAACCTAAAATATTGGTATAGTTACACGTTACATCTCATTCATATCTGTTAAGACAAATCACAAAGACCATTTGGCTACAACTTTCAGATATAGCCAATTGTAAGGAGGATTAAGAAAAAAAAAAATGTTTTCGATTGGAATTAGCCTAGCTACTGTTTATATTATTTTATAGTTTTGAAGTAGCCTATACAATATAGGCTACTGCTTGGGATTGCAGATATAAATAATAAATAGTATTTACATGAAGCCCATGTGTAAATATTTTTGAATAGTTCATTTTTAATTTGTTCATTTGATGTTGTTAACATTTATTGAAGAGATACTGATAGGTAGGCCTACTTTAGATCATCATATCATTCGATTTTTTTTATGTCGCTGCCTACAACATAAACAGAGCTTTTATGTTAAATGACTGCATATAGGCCTATTACATACATTTTATTGCAATTTAGCATTGCATTACTAATGTAGCCTAATATTAATATGCCACTCATTTAAGCCTATATATTCATGGAAAACAATAACTTTATAGAAAGTGGTAGTTGCACATCATCTGGGGTAAAATATGGAGAATATCAAGGTAAAATATGGAGAACATCACATACCCTATCTCTTCTGATTCCATTCCCTGCTAATTCAATTCTATTCTATTTGTATATAGCACACTGTGTATAAAAATGTTTCTATTTTGTTTATTTATAGGCTATAAATAAACAAAATAGACCAATTTGTATACACCGTGTGCTAAAAATAGAATAGAATGGAATGGCTACAAAATTATAGCCTATATTGTTTACATAGCCGTGTTCACATAGCTATAGGTCTATCTTTATTTTTTATTTTTACTATCTGTGTTGTTGTCTCTGTGTACTGGAGGCTTCTTCTCTCTCCGAAACAAATTCATTGTGTGTGTAAACATACTTTGCAATATTTTCTTCTTCAGAACTCAACAATATTCAGCTCGCACTGTCATTAATAAACCAAAGGGGGCGCTGCATAAGAAAAAAAAAAAGAGAATTTACACAGTTACATAGTCTAGGTGATGTAGCATACTGTATAAAGAAGCAATGTCCTCCAGTTATTACCAAATTAATATATTGTTAAAAATGAAATGACAAAAAAGTAAATGTTACATAGCCTACTAAATATTAGTACATAGCCTACTAGCCTATTATACTGCAAAGATAGGACCAAAATCGAATTTGACAATTACACATGACATGCACATGCAAAGTGGGCTGGTTCATTGTAGTTGACCAAGAGATTCTACAAATTAACAATAAACGCTGACAATATATAGATATATAGTCTAGAAAAACATGCTCAAATTAAGCAGGATAAAATAAAAATAAAACAAAAATAATTTAAGTATTAGCCAGTAGCCTGTAATATGTTTGATTTTAAACATGCTTCTCGATCAAATAGGATTGGCATCATATTATGATAAAATTCCCGTAGCATTCCTTTAGTAGCCCATTTTCTCCCATATTGATATGGCACAAATATTGCACAGTGCAAAGAACGTGAAGAAAATAATGCGCACAGTGAATTTTCTCAGTACTGGTGCCACTTTATTGCTGAATAGGCTATACCTGAGCACTGGAGTGGGACCAGGTGCAGATGAAATTGTTCGCGTGCTACGAAAGAGCTCGTGCTCTACTGGCGCGACAGGCGCTCGCGTCTCGTTGACATCATTCGCATCATCCCGCTGATGCGCGTCGCCGTCGCGGGATGGATGGAAAACATAGACTCGTCGCGAGTGCGTGGAGATTCCGCAGAATAAAACAGACCAACGAGACGAATCGTTTCATTTGCACAGAGCGACCAGTTAGTTAAGTCTTATACTTTATAATACCACGATGTTCGGTTCTTGAACAGCATTTGGTTATGCAATTTATTAGCCTATGTTTGGTGACTTACACTATCTTCACAACTTTGTGAGAGTTTGATTTGAAGACTTGGATGACACACTTTCGCGCATCTTTTTACCATATCAACATGTGGCATGGGGCTTTTGGGCTGGATCCCACGCGAACGTCCTGGGAGAAAACCTGGAGAGCAGATCATGATTCACACTAACTGCATGAACAATTTCCTTGTGTTAAAATGAACGATAAACCCAACAAATGGATTTTCATCCCAATTTTAGCCATTCTTTTTGTCATGATTGGGTACCAGTATATTTGTCCGGCAGGCGGTCATGCTTGCCATTTCAGGACAGGAGAGAAACTCGTGAGGATCGGTGCCCTGCCCACTCCAGACCCGACCACCGATGACCTGTACCGGGAGTTGGACCCGGAGGAAGACAGCCCACGTGCGTCCAAATTCAACTTCACAGAGCGCGATCTGACACGCGATGTCGATTTCAACATCAGGGGAGATGATGTGATTGTGTTTCTGCACATTCAAAAGACAGGAGGAACCACCTTTGGCAGGCACCTGGTCAGGAATATTCGCTTGGAGCAGCCGTGCGACTGTAAAGCGGGACAGAAGAAATGCACGTGCCACCGGCCCGGTAAGCAGGAGTCCTGGCTCTTCTCGAGGTTCTCCACGGGCTGGAGTTGCGGTTTGCACGCTGACTGGACTGAACTGACCAACTGCGTGCCGGTGATTATGGACAAAAGGCAGTCTCCAAAGCGCAAGAGGTAACGCGCCTCCCTCTCTCTCTCATAAACTAATTCGGGGAATTCATTTGCCGCTCTGTTGCTTATGAAGGTAATGATGAAGTGTAAGACGTAGTCTGAGGGTGTTTTCACACTTGAGTCCACTCAGACCTCTTTAAGTAGACCAAAATTGTTTTCACACTCTTTAAAAAGTGGGCTCAGATCTAACTAATAATACTTTTACTACTGCTGCTACTACTACTTCTAATAATATAATTATTATAAATATGTTGAAATGATCTGGAAAAAAATGGTGTAGAAACTATTTTTACTCGCTAATGTCACAATTAGCAAGAAATGGCAAGAAGTAAATTTGAATTAAAGAAGACATTTTGAAGAAAGACTAACATAGATTCCAATAAATACTCTAATAATGTTTGTTTTATTTACTTCGAAAAAGTAAATGATTTTTTACAGTGTAGGCTTCAACTGTAATATATTTCAGACATATTATTTCTTTACTTTTACTTTAAGTCTTTGAGCAATAGTTTGAGACCCCTTTAAGTAGCTCTAAAACGTGAACCCAGTTCTATTTGCACTCAAAATGTCCCTGCCCTTAAAAAAGTAGACTCAAATCCTATTTTTGTCCATTTTGTGATTTGTCAGTTTACTTTCTATAAAAACTTGCTTTGGGGATCTACAATCATCATTATTAGGTGAATATTAGTGAGAAATAATAAAGTTTGTGTCCACAGTGCACCCGGACTCCCTTCAGAGAGTCAGGTTCTCAGTCCGGTTTGATTTAAAGTGGTTCGAGTTCAGTTGGAGCATTCAAGCTAAGCTGACATTTGTGCCAACCAATTTTGGATCTCTGAAACAATACTTAAAGGTAAACTAAAAGGTAATATTTTCATACTGATGTGTTACTAATTCTGGACCAGTTAAACGAGAAATAATTTTAACCACAGAAGCCAAACAATCACTCCAATGGTTATGACCAAAGTCCACTGTGAGAATACAGTGTCTACAAAAGAGATCTGTGCATTATGAATTCTGTGGTGCCTTTACTAAATCTAAGTCCCTTGTAATTTACTAGACTCTTAGAAATCCATTATGCCCTTACTCCTGTCTGAAATGCATTTTTTTATAGACTTGTAAAACATTTTTTGAAGGTATTTTAGTCATCTCTACCTGTAAAGATTAATCTACTTCACATACGATTTTAAATAGATATATTTACCCTGTCGGAAAATGCACTAATGGGTTTCATTGCCTGTGGCCCCTCTGCGTGACACTCAGTGATATTATTAATGTGATAGTGATATTATTAATGTGACAGTGATATTATTAACTTATCATCACCCAACATGGTTTATGGTAAACACATTAAAATGCACAACAAAGAGATTGTCAATATGACAAAATGGCAAGCCTAAAATGCTATTTTGTACAGTCTCTGTGACCACAGCTCTCTTTTCTCAGATTCTGTATTCCCGTTTAAATGATGTAGAAGCTGCGCTGTAATGAACTTTAAATGAGGTATCATAAAGCCGAGCCGAGCACTCCCATCTATAAATCTGACAGTGCCAGTCTGGACAAGCAAGCTATTAAAAAGTTATTGTAGTTGTTTACTAAGTATAATAATGGCTTAATATGGTGGAAAAATGCAGACTTTCACTTTTATAAGTGCCTGCGAATAAAAGACACGTGTCTTTTTAGTGCCTCCGAATGCTGTTCTTGTAAATGGCATATAAAATAGCTTTGTCGTCACCTTCGGCTACTTTCTGATAACGTTAGTCCATGAATTATCTTTAACACAACTGACTGTGTCCATATCTGTTTTGCTCTGTTATCATAAAAATCTCAGTTTTGGCAGTCATTCATTAAACAGTTGCCAAGCAAATGGATCAAGTTAATTAGGTGCTTGGCCTGTTTATATGATTCAAACTATTGTAATGAATGAAAATGGCCAATTTCTGAGTAAACAATTAATACTGAATGTGAGGAACAGCTGAAGAAAGTTTTGAAAGAGGAAACATTCATTGGATGAAGAGAAATTCACACTTGTACCCCAAACCTGCAAGACCATGCTATATGATTCATCTCTGCAGAATCAGCCAGCTCATTTTGGGAGTTCGCAGCCTATGTGACAGAGAACCAGTGCCCAAATGAAACATAAATCCATCGCTGGCTTGCTCTATCTGTGCTTTCAAAATGCTGCTCTGCATTGGTTCTCTAAAGATACACCATGAGACGCAAATAAATCTCTTCTGACAACAGACGCTTTTGCTCTCTGAAGCGCATGTGCTAAGTGGTGACTGTATGAAAATTTCATCCTGATACCCAGCTCTGTTTATTTCAGTTAAGATGGATCACTGTGTGCTTGGAGGAGGTTTTTCACGGACAAATGATCCTCATTTTTTGCTGTGTTTAAATGCAACCTTCACACTTGAAACTTGCTGCTCTCACAGTATTCCATAATCTAATCATCCAAATTAGTGCAGTAGCGCAAAGAAATTGTGCAATTTCTTTATAGTGAGCATGCAATTGATATTGGTTGGTAATATGGCAGCCTGGTTTCTCAGGCATGGTGTGGCCTTTTCAGCCTGGCACGGAGCAGTGCGGGCACATCGCAGGAGCCTGAAAGGTCAGTCATGTCAGAGTGGAACAACTGACACTGTAAGAGTCGATGGGAAGGGAGAGTTGAAGCGATCTCTTCAGGGAGAGAGAGTCTTCTTTTCTTCTGTCTCTCACTCTGGATTGATTGTCTTCTGCGGTCAAGGTTTTCTCTTGCAGGTCAAAACTGTCAAAGAAGTAACAGTTAAAGAATCTCGCTGAGCTGGTTTGAAACAATAAAGTAAAAGTAGTCCATTTTAATGCACATTGCTCACATTGCTGGTCTATTTGTACAGGATGCATTGGTGCACGTTATGCTGCGTTCAACTCTGAGTTGTTCATGTCCTTGTACTCAGAATTATGCATTTCTATGGCAACACTATCAACGGCAAAATTAATCTGGAGCGGTTATGTGGTACAGTGCTGGAGCTCTCAGAGAATTCAGTTTACAAGTTGTAATTACGAGTTCTACGAGGACGTGAACGCTTTTTGCAAGTCACAATCTCGTAATGTTGTGAACGCACCTTAATTCCAGATGGTATGTAATGGCCACTTTTCAAGAGCCAATCAATTCCCCATTAGTAAAATCAAGTCCCACTCAATTTTGCCACATTGAATATGCTATTTCACTCAGGAAAACAACCTATTGCGTAAGTAAAATGGGTTGTTTTTAATTAAAGATGCTAATCTTATGATAACTGACCAACCATAAAACTCCACAATTAAGATCAATTTCAGACCCAACAGGTTTTTTTTTGGGTGCAACCCTCACGTATTTTATACCCAAAGGCATCGCATCAATTTAAATGATGTTGTTCAGATGATAAAGCCCCCTGATATGAAAAAAAAAACCTGACTCGTTCTTTTCACCATCCTTTCTTCTTCTTTCATAGCTCTGCCTCTCTTCAGGACCTCTCTCTGCCTCTTTTTATTTTAGCACTAATTAAATTTGCCAAGTCCCCTGACATTATAACCAAATGGAGTTTCTGGGCAGTCACAAATGTGCAATCTGGAAATGAGATGCAATTAACTAAGCCAACTGCACACAGGTTCTGAGATTAAAGTCACCGCAAACGATCTGCATGTTTACAGAAACAGACTCTTAGTTTGCAGTTAAAAAACAAAAAACAATAAAAAAACACACCAAGACAGCTAGTCTATAATTAGGAACACAAAAGCAGTAAACCGATTTTCTGTTTTTCTGCCCAACACTGATTTCATAGTGTTGTCGCTTACTGGCATAAAGGTAAAAAGGCATTTTACAAAGTTTTAGTGCACACTATGGAGAAGGAGGGTCTATTTTGGCATTGTAATGTTCCTTAAGATCCAATATTGAAATCAAATTGATTTCAACAGTATCGAAGTGTATCATTCATGCAAGGTTTTGCAGAATTTAGGATCTATCTATCTATCTATCTATCTATCTATCTATCTATCTATCTATCTATCTATCTATCTATCTATCTATCTATCTATCTATCTATCTATCTATCTATCTATCTATCTATCTATCTATCTATCTATCTATCTATCTATCTATCTATCTATCTATCTATCTATCTGCCCGCCCGCCCGCCCGCCCGCCCACCCACCCACCCACCCACCCACCCATCCATCCATCCATCCATCCATCCATCCATCCATCCATCCAATTTTATTCCAAAATTTTCAAACAAATGCTATGTCAAACCAACATTATGTAATGTTGGTAAAATTTGCTTTTCTAAATTAGTTAAACGGTATAAATTACTTTATATTTAAATTTATTGTAATTCTACTTCCTTACATTCAAACCTTGCCATCTCGATACAAATTCAGGAATTGAACTGGAATTTACAGTAAAAGGCTTTCTCAATTCAGTTCTGAAAAGCACACAGCCCTGGTCTGTCAAGTTACCTTTATTTGTATAGCGCTTCATACAATACAGATTGTTTCAGCAGCTTTACAGTGATCAACGGGAAGATGATTCAATGATGTGAACAGAGTTCATTTCAGCTGTACAGCAGCTTTAAAAGAAAATAATGTCATTGTTCAGTTGAAGTCTGTTCAGTGTTGATTCAGTTTCGTTGTAAAATCAATTCATTTCATCTATAAAGCAGTTCTGCAGACAACAGTGATGCCATCATTGTCCAGCTCAGTTCAGTTCTCATCCAATCGTGTCAGTGCAGTCAAATCAATAATATTGCTGAATATTAAGTGTAGCACAAATGTTGTTAGAACAGTTAAAAAAACGAAGTATACTTAAAGTCCCCCTGTAGTTGACAATTTTGTCTCCAAAATGACATATTTAAACTTTTTTCCTGTAAATTTTTTACTTCATGCCTTAAAATAGCTTGAATGTAACTACACCCCTTGCTTCATTTAGTATACGCAGAAGTATGAATATGCAAATTAGCCCCTCCTCCACCCACTCACGCCAGCGCCCA